AAAAGTTTTATTGAGAGACCAGCTAACCAAATCCATAAAAATAAAAATATCCATAATTTCTGGTTTCGGATGAAAAACGTAGAGAAGACTCCAAGCAGCAAAGCAGGGAAAGATAAGGAAGGACAGGAGAGAATGAAGAAGTGTCTTACTCCTCCGAGAGCGAAAACAAACAAACAAAAAAATTATGCTTTTCAAAGAATCAAGTAGCAYGTCTGTTCAGAATGTTGGCAACGTAGTGGTATTTATTTTATTTCTCTTATCTTCTCTAGTGTCAGATATGAGACTGAAAACAACTTCATTTGTTTCTCTGTAATCTGTTTATTTCACATTGTTTAAGATTATTACTTGTTGGGATTACATCAACATCTGAGCATATTCCCAGACTTTGCTCATACTTTTATTTTGAAGAGATGAAATCAGCTGTCAAAATCTTCTGCTTCACATTTTCTTTTCCAAAGTTAATTCTTTTTCAGCCAGCTAGTATTGTTTTTTTTTAATTGCGCTCACCTCTCCACACTTGATTTAAGAATCAGTGGATAATGAAGTTTTCCCTGGTTTCCTCTGTCTGAACGCTCCGTGCTGCAGGTACACCTTCTTCATTGTGCTGTATCCGATGGGAGTGACGGGGGAACTGCTGACCATCTACGCAGCTCTTCCTTACGTGCAGAAAACAGGCCTGTACTCCATCACCCTCCCCAACAAGTACAACTTCTCCTTCGACTACTACACCTTCCTCATCCTCGTCATGATCTCCTACATTCCCTGTGAGTAATGAGCTCGCTCTTTTGTCATTTTTTAAATCATGAATTAATCAAGCTGGTCAGGAGGAGGCTGTCATGGCGCCATTTTAAAAACTACAATTTAAWGTTGAAAAACAAAACAACCCAACAACGTATATGGATGTTATTAAATTCATTTGTCAGTCATTTTAATGCTGTTTATAAATGTGACACTCAGAGTATCATACTGTATTCAAACTCTTACTTTTTATCAAAAATCTTCAGAATAATTGTAAATCTGTAGTTTTCCTTCATAGCTCTGTTTTTGATCCCTGTTGAACTCATCCCTACAGTTTGTATTGGGACTGTATTTTGTGTAGTGATGAGATAATCCAGACTGTTTTTTGTTGGTGTTTTGTTCATAAAGGCACCATGTCAAACATGAATGTGTAGGGGTCACCTCGAGTGAAATAACAGAGTTTTTGTTCCTTTAAAGTGCCTGTGACGTCAAGTTTTTGTAATAAATGTGAATGCGTTTTTGGAAAGAGAACATTGATAACATATTACAAAACAAATTTCACGCCGTTGAGATGAACAGTCGTTGAAATATTTGTATGTGAGGAAACAGGAAGTGATGTCAAAGGGGAATATCTGCATGTAAACAGAGCAATGCTACAATAGTTAGAGAATATGATATATTTTTATTGTTTTGAGTCACGATCAGAGATGAAGAAGAGTTTAAATAAGATTGTTTCAATAAATAAAAACTAGAGTTTCTTTTTTTTAAAGAGTCCTCTTTTGATGTCACTTCCTGTTTTACTTTGCAGAGCCAAATTCAAGAGAAAATAGGCCAGTTATGAGACAAAATGGGTAAAATCATGTGTATTATGCTAATTTTCTTTAATATAAATATGTTTTCTTTGACTTTTTGTATTTGGTATAAGCATGTCACAGGCAAGGTCCATCAGAGGTCTGAGGTCCAGTTTCTTTGATTATTTCACTCCAGGTGACCCCTACAAATGCGAGGGTCTGTGGGATTTCCTTGCAAGCGTATGTGCTGTGCTYCTGATATAAAATCTAGGATTGTAACGATTCACTCAAGCCCATATTCAATTCAACTATAGGTTTTTAAGTTCACAAYTACAATTATTTTCTTTTTGTTTTTCTAATTTCTTCAAAAAATGAATTGTAGCTGTCTTATAACCAAATACGTGTCTTTTCTTTAAACATATTTTGTTCTTGTATCAAACTTTGTCATCTTAGTAACAGAATATAACTTCTACATAAATGTGAACTAAAGTTATCAATTATCAAATGAATGAGTTTAAAAGACATAACTTTGATTCATTCATTTTTATGAATAGATTCACATTTTAAGCAGTTAGACAGTAATCAGGGGTGCACATAAGCGGTGCGCAGGTGAACATGCGCGATCAAAAAAGAAAAGGTGCACCAGATGTAACGTCATGAAGCTCACTTGTGTACCTAAGATTGTACCTGAGATTGTCAAAACAACAGTTAGCATGGCTCTAGAGTGCGACCAGTTTGGTCACAAATGCGACCTGATTTCTTTAAAAAAAACTAAAATCCAGCTGCACTGGTGTGACTGGATCGTTGTTCGGTGCTCACCAAGCCTCCAGCTGGGCCCTGATGTAAGGATTAAACGGACACTGCCTTCAACAAATCAGAYGAAGTCCAGAGCTGTTTTATCCAATCAGAGCAGAGCAGGGCGGGACTTTCAGTCAGAGCTTTTTTTCAGCAGGACTGTAGGTTGAAGCAGTGGACTGCTGTGATCAGTCTGATATATCCTCCTCTGCTCCTCCTGCACTTTGAACTACCAGAGACTTTGGTCTGTAAAACATAACTTTATATTAAATACATGTTCAGAGCGTCGTTATCAAACAGATCTGTCCAATTCTGTGTGAGTGACTAAACTGTCTCCTGATGAGAGACTGCTGTGGCAGGAGCACGTCGGTGAGTCTTTCTGTGAGATTCACCGTTTGACTTCTTCTAATTAAACCACATTAACTCTAACAGGACATTTGTTTGCCCCATATTAAAGCAAAGATGATTCTGTTTGACAACACCGTCAAAAAAAGTTATATATTTATTTATTTATTAGGGGTGCAACAATACATGTACCCGTATCGAACCTTATCGAACAGTACTTTAGGTTCAATACACACTTGTATGGAACAATACAGATTTTTAAAATTTACTTTATCAACTTGTCTTCTGAAGATGCTCTGTGTTGAAGGATCAGTGGATCTGTGTTCGACTACTCCACCTAGGCTGTATTTTAGAGCGCAGATCCACTGAGAAACTTGCTGTTTCAGCAACATTTAATTTAAAAACTGTACTTTTCAGGTTAAACAAATGTTCGTAATTAATTTAAATAAATTACAAGGTAAAAGGGGCATGGACATTTCGAAAAAATATCAAACCGCGAGACTAAAGTATCGAACCAAACCGAATCCTGGGTTTTCTGTATCATTGCAGGGCCTTTGTTTTGGTTCTGATCAGTGTTGTATAAAGTACCTGAAAGTGATACTTGAGTAAAAGTACAAGTATCTTGTCATAAAAGTACTTTGGTAAAAGTTAAAGTCTTCTCTAAAAATATTACTTGAGTAAAAGTCTTAAAGTATCTGATATTTTTATACTTAAGTATCCAAAATAAATTTCTGACACAA